CTGTAAAACACTTTGAGAAGCCACCTTTAAAGGCGCTATATCAAATAAAGTTTATTATTATAATATTTATTATATGTATGTGTGAATGTGTGTGCATGTTGGTCATTGAGAAGTTCTGGGGTTCCTATGAGATGGTGACTTGTAGGTGGTACTTGGATGCTTTGGTTGGATTAGGGGTGGTACTTGGTCCAAAAGGTTTGAGAACCACTGCTCTAGAGTAACAGGAGGTGTTTATTTGCTTGGTTGAAGTTTATTGTGTTTTTAAAATTGATTAAGAGTATATCTTAAACTAGTTTCCTCTTCTGTACAGTAACTAATGTTTCCAATTAACCAGGTAATGTGCAGAATTAATAATATATTTATATGTGGTAACAGAAACATGTGGTAAGAAATGCCACGATACCTAATATCAATGAAAAAACGAGAAAGCGAGAATCAAGTACTCAGCTTTCAAAGCTCTGTTAAAAAATATACAAAAAGTATTGTCTGATTAGAATTACAAAACATGAATAAAATCCACTAAAGGTAGTGCACACACTATAAAGAGGAAACAAAATATTTATGATACACATCATTTATTTATTTCCATTTGGGGTGTTAGGTCAGTTTGAATTCACATTACCAAAGTATAGAGTTGCAGGAAACCGAGACTTTGAAACATTGGTCCAGGACAGTATCAGAATAGTACTCCTTTTGCATTCATATAAAATATATCCAAATTGACATTGTGGGATCTTGTCTTATCATAATATAAACTAGAAGAAAATTTTTAAAAATGAACCAAAATATAAATAGGGAAGTATTCATTCTCGATGTCCATTTCCGTTTGTCTGCTAACTATATTATAGATTTATAAGAATTGAAATCAGCTGTCACTATTTTAATTGGTATTCTTTTGTTGTCCTGTTTAGGTATGAACAGGGTTTTAATCTGGACCTTTTTGAGGATAAGAAGAAAATGAAGAAAAAAGGAAAAACTGAGTCTGAAAAAATATATTCAGACAGCAAATAAGCATTAATACAATTCCATGTACAGACATAAAGTTTCTGTACCGTAGGTTTCTGTGCTTAAGGAAAGCATATTTGTATTTTCTGAAATGTCCTGTTGATAGATTTACAGAATACTGTACCTTGTAGGTTGTATGCTCTTACTCTGCAACAAATGCTCTCTAAAGTAAGTCAGAAGTGTTGTAGCTTCTAAAATGATTTTGTTCAGATATATATACCAGTTGACATTCTGTCTTGATCCACTTAAGTATTTTTAAACTTTATGATATATGGTGCCAAGTCATTTTATATCTATGTTTGTGCCATATTTTATTCTAACCATTACCAGATGGAGCAAAGAAATCTTCAGCTGTGCTCATACATGCCAGTCAAGAGATTTAGCGCCATCTGCTGCTAATGTCACATATTACAATGTTTGTGTGTGTGCAGTGTATTGCGAGGACAACATTAACTTGGTCCTGCCAAAGAATCAGTGACCAATACACGTGTTGAATATGAAAAGCTGGATTTAAGATTTTTTTTTCTGCTCAACATTTCAGAAATGATTGTGATTTTATAAGTATATAAGTGGATGTTTTTCAAGTAAGCTGAGGGTGTCTGTAGACATGCAATATATTGTACACAGAGCCATTTAATAAAGTGGCTTTTATTTAATTTATGAAGAAAATGTTCTGTGGTAGCCAGCACACCGCCATAGTGCAAATGGCAAAAAAAACATAAGGGGTCTTTTTCCTTGGTGGTGAGAGTAAACAAGTGCTTGGATTAGATATCTAAAATTGAAATCAAAGGTGCTCGTTTGCTTAAATCAGTATGTTTAGGACAAGTAAAGGTACAGTACACTGTGAGGTTTACACTGTAGTGTTTCATTCTCAGTTTAGCACCTACTGTACATGTATAATTTTAAATTGGTGAGCCCCTTTATTCTGCTTTTTGAAATAGTTATTTGGGTAGACCAACTTAAAACAATTTTAGAATTTCTGTTAAAGAGATTCCACTCTTGTGATTTAATGAAGAGCAATTGTTGTGACTTTATACAGTTGTACCATGACCTCTACCCTTGCAACAATAATACACTTGGTTCCAGTTTTTTTTCATGCCCTCAATAAAATATAACTGCCAGCTGGGTATGCAAAAAAAAAGAAGCACTAAATGTGCATTCACTATTCGTCCCATAATTTGAAAGCATGAAAAGTCCAAGACTATCCAGTCATCAGATATTGTAGAAACAAATATGTCCAAAGTCGTGGTATATTTTTTCTAATATTCAAAAATTTTACCCCCAGCTCAGTATTTTGTTGATCTTCTTTTCACTTTGATAATGTAGAAGAAGGCCCTTCTTTTAGCAGATTCAGGTTTTGCACCATTTCTCCATGCAGAACTTTTCCAAGCTCTTCAGATGAGGTGCACCTGTGTATTGCACTTCTGAATTCTGTTTCTTTATCTTAAACCACAAATATTCTATTGGACTGAGCTCGGGAGTTTGTATTGGACAACTAAGAAAACAGATTTTTCATTCCCTTTACTTTTCGGAAAGTGAATTAAAGTGAGCTTTAGGTTGTTATCGTGCTCGAGCTTATAGTTTACTAAGAATCTGGGGAAAGATGTGAAAACTGATGTCCATAAGTGATCCCATAGCAACTTAAGAGAGCTTGAGCAAACGTTCCAAGAATAACGGGCAACAATTTCACCCAACCAAACCAAAGGGTGATAGAGACTTACCCAAAAAGAATGGTGGCCATAAATTCTGTCATAGGTTCTTCTAATCCAGTATTCAGTGCATGGGTCTGAATAGTTGTGTAACCATCCATTTTCTAACCACTTCATCCAATCCTGAGTTGCGGGGATAGCCTATCCTGGCAAGCAAGAGGCGCAAGGCAGGAAAAACCCTGAACAGGATGCCATTCCATTGCAGGGCACAAACTGACAGATGTACGCACACGAACACACCAGTGCCAATTTTGCCAGAAGTCAATTAACCTACCAGTGGATCCTGAGAGGAAACCAGAGCACCCAGTGAAAACCCATGCAACCACGGGAAAAACATACAAACTCCATACAGATAGCACTCCAGGAATTGAACCCAGGCCCCCAAGCACAGCAAGGCACTGAACACTTATGCAATCAACAAGTGACATTTTTGGGTTTTGCCCGTATTTACTGTAACTTATGCTTGGAAAAAATGTTTATGTATCATTCTATAAACACCCCCTGGGAAGGAACTGAATACCTTTTAAGGCATTGTATCTTAAAAAAATGTCATTATCAAACCTGGAAAAGCCTCTATAATGATGTTAAATAAAAATGGAAATCTCCAGTACCCTCACCTAAAAACAGTCAAAACATTTAAGAACTACAGTACGTCGTAGTCAGGTGAAACCAGTATGTACAATACTTGCTAAATGGCTGGAATGCTTATTTGTGAGATAACTGAAAATAACTGTCACTTGTGTTTTCAGTTTTATGTATCAATATCAGGAACAGTACTGCAGAAGAGAGCGTATGGCAAATCCATACTACTATACCAGTACTGTATGCACAGAAAGAAAAGACACACTACAAATCTTTTTCATGTTTTATTTCACAAGAATGGATTAATCATTAAAGCACCAGACAACAGTAATCAAAGAAGTAAACGTGTAGACAAAGAAAACTGGTAAAAAAGGTAGGTAGGGAAAAGTGTGTTCTGAGTTCCACTTCAAGAGGAGCAGAGCCTCTTGTACTGCTGTGCCTCTTTATTACTGTAACATGTGGTGTGTGCTTATTTTCTGTGAGTAAGTACCATTCATCCTTATTGTAAAGACAGTGCTGCAGTTCACATAAATGAAGATAATGCTAAACTATTTGCATATGCCTGTCATAGCTTAAAATTGCATCGTTCCTACTAGATAACACTGTGAAAATTCCCTGTTAATCTTAGCTGCCAACAGATACTACCATTCTCTAAAAAAAGAAAAAATCCATTGTGATTCATTCCATGAACCTAGAACTTGGTCTGCTCTTGATTACACTGCAAGAGCTGTGTATCTAGGTTATACCTTGGCAAAAACTCTTTACATCAAAATGTATAGCTACATGCAACTAACTACCCAACACATTGAAAAAAGTGCAAAGTACCAATCTCGTTACAAAACAATACTGATTTACTTTTTGTCTACTAAAAGGGTAATGGAAGCACCATGCTTGAGTTGACTATGGCATGAGTTACAATGGTGAGGCAGTCATGTTCGAGCAATAACATCACACTAAGGTCACCTCATCCTATTAAACAAACAGACACTTCATCTTCTCATCAATACCAGAGAATCTGAGGACTCAAAAACACTGATATACAAAGGAACTGAACAGTCTCCCTCACTGATCCATTGTAATGTCACAATCCTCAAGTCCAAGACTTCAGCCCAGGCTGGTGATGTTCGAACGGCCACCTGGGGGCGCTACAATGCGGTGACCGGAGCGTCGAGGAATGTTGTCATCGATCTGTGCACCTAGAGAATGAGGCATAGCGAGAATTTAGGACAAATTCAGGTGATGCTGATTAATTCAGTACCTTAGAATTTATTTTAATAGGCTGCACACTGATGTGAAATATTTAATGATTGAGTATTTCACAGTAGAGTCCTAATCTACCTACTGTACTTGCTACAGTATACTGTATATTAGAGCTACAGCAATTGGTAAGTTTCTCGATAAGATTTTGCACAGTAGTGTTTAATTATCCCTCTTAAAATATTTCTGAAGGTCAGGGCCTTTAATGAGTTTATTGGCCAGATTTATGCTTTTGTATCACCACAAACCCATTTTTACTTAGATTGTACAGTTAAAACAAGGTACTATTGGAAAAGAATGAAAAATAAAGTAATGTTATGCACAAGTAGTACGTTTCTGTTGAATTTCTTTCACTAAACACTTAACCCTGTAGTGTATTTATGGTTTGGTCACCCCTAAAAATCAAAGTGGTGAACAAACTGATTTCTATCAAACTTAAGATATTTCCTTATGAGCTATGCATATAAATGCATTTATTGTAGAAGTTAAAAAAAAAAAGGTATTGAGTATTTATAAACATAGGTCATGGGATGTGCCACAAACATAAAACACAGAATTAACAAAGCATAACAGAGGGAAATTATATTTTGTAGAAACAAAACTGTGTTGAAAGGTTCATGCACCAATTTTCAAACTAGTTATTCCGTAAAATGTTGGGATCCAATTTATGATGACTTACCCAGATTTCTGAATGAATGTCAAGGAACAGTTTCTTATAGATTACTCCTGTTTGTTGTCTAATATGAGGAACTTAATAATCTACAAAAATTATCATGAGACAATACCAATAGGTGTTAACCTCACAAACCTATGGCTGGTGTGTGCTTGTAATGTTTGCTTGTATTTGTGTACCCTTCCAACTGTTGTCGAGAAGCTGCCCCTGGAAATATATAAGATGATGCATGTGAGAGTGCTATTCTAAATACAACATTATTCACATAATATATATATATAATACCAACTGAGTATAATGCAGACCCATAATATGCTGCTACTGGAAAACAGCACTTCTGCTACAATTTTGTTATACATTTGTACTTAGCCAAATCATTATTATCACATTACAATCGCCTTATACAAAGAAACACATTATAATATTGCCCTGTATAGAATTAGCATGTTCCACAATAGCAAACATTGTCTGAAATGAAATACAGAATATCTTCCATTAGTAAGCACAAAAGTTAATGTGTAAAGTTAAAACTTGACTTCTTGTATTTTTGACTGTACATTTATTGAGGCCTTATTGTGGTTTTAACATGCTTTGCGCTTGTCTGTAAAGTGGTATGAGGTGGTATTTGTCAACAAAATAATCTACAGTATGTAACAAAAAATAGCTGAGAGATTGTTTAACCTTCTCCTATTATGAGTTAAGGAAATCGTTTAGAATTAGTCTGTTGCTGTCTTGAAACTCCAGGTATATTATGCTGTGCTTTTGTATGAATATTTTGTAAATGTGGTTACATTTTTGTTTACATTTTTCCTCTGATGGACAGAAGAAGGTAAAGCAGTAAGAATGCAAGAAAAAGTTAACGAACGTTTCACATTTCATTTTCTGTTTTATAATTGCAGCAGATTCACTATTCACTGAAAACTGTATTACGTCTGAGATCCCGTTATCTTCATTTTGAAGAGACAATGAGCATGTTTTCTTTCTGAGCTGTGAGGAATCTAACTCCGTAGGTAAAAAACTGCTTTCTCCAAAGGAGTTACTTGAGTTAAAATCTATTTATAATTAACAAGGCTCTTTATCTTGTTCATTTTCTCAGCATCTAATTTAAAGGACACCAACAAACACAGACATTAAAATACATAAACACACACAATAAAGGGGTAGAAGTACAGCACGTACTGTAGACTACAGGCAAGTGAGATTGTTCTCATGACTGTACTCCAGTGTGTCCTGGGTGGCCACACTAAATCGAAGAGCAAGACAACATCGCCCTACCTGATAGGCTGAAGTTAGATTGGTGAAGGTTCCTGATTGGAGGAGCCTGGTTCTTGGCAGGAGATGATTTTGCTGATGGTGCAGGTGTGGTGTACTTTGGAGTTGCAGGGATTTCATACACAGGCCCATCATACATGCCCCTAGAAACTCCACGCATTCCCATTACCTTGAAATACAACAACACTGCTTTAAGACAACAGCATGCCAAGAATATACTGTAGAATTATGCGTTAGATTAATAACCATGTTGTACCTCTCATGAATGTTTCCTGACCTCCTGTACTATGAAACAAACATAGATCATTCCACATGGCTTAGAGGAAGAGTTGATACAATGGCAGTAATACATTTATGTGTAATTATTAACACACAGTAAACATGAAACTGAGCCAGAACTTGTTTGTCTGTATTCTTTCCTATTTAGGAGGTGGCGCACTGGCAAGATAGTTAGCACAACTGCCTGAAAGCTGGGGCTCTTGTCAAGTCTCCATGTGTTCGTGAGGCACTAGACTCTGGTTTCTTCACACCACCCAGAGGCATGCAAGTAAGAGTTTATTTGTAAGACGTCACTTGGATCATAGAGAATGTTAGTTCTGCAAACAACTGAGAACTATAATTTCTGAAGTACATAATTACGACATAAGGATTAAATGGTTTAGCGTCAGATGTTTTACATCTTTATCCTTTGGGTGTTTAAGCTGCAGTTACAATATTAGCAGAAACAGTGCACTGTATGCATGATGCTCTTAAATGATGCAGCACTGCCATCTACTGGAGTATTTTGTGAAGTATTTGTATTGAATATTTACAGTAATCAAAATATTTTCAGGGCATGAAAAATAAGCATAAAACACCTATTGGGAAAAATATTTCAAAGCAAAATACATAAAACACAGAAATACAAATCAAAATCAGGGCCCTAAAAAGTCCAAAACAGAAATGCACTCACAACAGAAGTTCCAATGTGAAAAATAACATTTCTGTAAGTTGAAGGGGGCCTTAATGTTTATTATCAAAAATTCTTCTGTGCAAGTGATTTGATATAATAGGATCCGGTTTTTACATTTTAACTGTCTCATGTTTCATTTTGTTGAGAAATATTGTATAACTATTTCACTTCTGAGTCATTCAAATATTAAACTACACAGAAACTACATACACTGCAGAGTTGCAACTTGCAACAAATGGCAGTGCACAAAAGATGGTGGAAAGCCACAAATGACGTCGTAGTTTAGTTTAGTAAACAAGGACAGCACACAGATCATAAGCTGTACCAGAGTAAAAAAAAAAAGCTAATTCACTTCAGTAGTCCGTGGGCAGGTCACAACCAACAAAATACAAGTTCAAATTAGTAACAAAGGTTACAACTTGTTTGATTTTTAGTCCTAGTTGAATGCTAAAACCTACAGTACCAGATAGTCACTGGGCGCTATACCTGAACATACAAGAGAAATGAAACAGCTTTAATGGTCTAGCGGCAGATTACTGTTGCCCCAAGATGATCCTGATATATAGTAGGAGACTACAAAAATTCATTGTAGCAAGCAGCCATATCACCCTGCAACTCACAGGTGGCAGCCCCCTGAAGCTCAGCGGCTGTGAGCCTGGTCAGTACCTGGATGGGAGACCTCCTGGGAAAAACTAAGGTTGCTGCTGGAAGAGGTGTTAGTGGGGCCAGCAGGGGGCACTCACCCTGCAGTCTGTGTGGGTAGTAATGCTCCAGTATAGTGACGGGGACACTATACTGTAAAAAGGTGCTGTCCTGTGGATGAAAAGTAAAACTGACTCTCTGTGGTCATTAAAAATCCCAGGGCATTTCTTGAAAAGAGTAGGAGTGTAACCCCAGCGTCCTGGTCAAATTTCCCATTGGCCTCCTAATAATCCTCATCTATAAATTGGCTTCATCACTCTGTTCCCCTCCCCACTGATAGCTGATGTGTGGTGAGTGTATAGGTGCACTATGGCTGCAGATGTGCACTATGGCTTTAAATGGAGTGTCCAGAAAAGCATTATATACTATAAGTAATTAATTATGAAATGGACTACTGTATCATCAAAAAACAAAACCAAGTAGGGAAGTTAAAAGAACGGTAAAAAGTCAACTTCTTTGTTTTTTTTCTAAATCAGTTACTAAAAATGTATTAAACGTTAATTTTTACAGTTTAAATAGTAAAACAGTAAAACAAGCATTGAACACTAAACATTTTAATCATTTTCAGTCCTAAAAGAAAACTTGCAATAAATAATTCGGTAATATCCTCTTCCATTTTCAACAGCTTGTCTCATTGTTCCTGCTGTTCTCAATTTGATATGTACAAATATGTTTAACTGCTATTGTCTGATAATGTATGCTCCGTGATTTATGCTATGGTTCAATATATAAACGTAATTACCTTGCGAAATACAGTATACTGCAGGATGCATTAGGTCTTGTGAGCCTTGTAAATAGCCTAAATGGTTCTCATTTTAATCTTTTCACATGCCTATAATATACCAATCCCTCGAATGAAGAACAAGTTGCTCCTTTAAAATTCATAAATTGGGAAGGAAATTGTGTGACTGAGGTTACAAAAATCACCCAGCAAGTAATACACAAGCAGGGGTGGTTTTTACCCTAACAAATCCCTAGAGCATCATAGTAAAAACACTTTTTCCTGCTAATGTAATTACCCTATTTACCTAAGAACAGTATATAATATAAAAAGACAAAAAATGTTTAACAATTCTAAGAACGCAGAAGCACTGAGGACCTGTGTTGTGGGATGTCCCGTTCAGCTAAAAAAAGAATGAACCTTCACTGTAACAAAACCCTCTTGGTAACAGAAAAAATGGGTATGAAAATGTGTTTCATTATTGTGAAATTTGGAAACAGGGTGCTTGTAAAGTGAGGGAGGAGTGTGTATCTTTTTAGAAGCTACTCTTGAGCTCTTGATGTATAAGAAATTAACAATTGCAATATGTAAATATACAATCTTAATACAGTTAACATTGTGAACATTTACAGTACATATCACTTGCAGATGGGAAATGCTTTTTCATCTCTGTCCCACTCAGCACCTGTGAAGAACAGTCTGATGAACTGGCCTGCACTGTTTTCCAATCTTCTTGGGGGAGATTCTTGTACATGCAGAAAACAAACTTGACATCACGTTTTCTTATTCCACTGTATATAATGTATACCCAAGCTGTTTCATAGCTGTAGACTTTGAGTTGCAGCAGACTTCTTTCACACCACTTTCAGCCTACTGTATGTCACAGATTTAAATTTTAGCCTTTTAGTTTTACAGTACATTTACTGATTTTTATACTTTGCCTTCACAGAATGTGACAAGAAGTCAGGTTTCATATTCACTCCAGTTTCAACTTCCAATAGCTTTTTTTATACCCTTAGCAAAATGAAACCTCATCTAACCATTAACGCAATACACTAAATACTGGTGAGGGTCAGGAAGCCAAAACCTGTCCTGTGAACTGATAACATACCTGGACGGGACACCAGTGCATCACATGGCCAAGGATAAGGAGACAGTTTAGAAAAAGCCACTCTAAACAGGTGTTAGTGGGGCCAGCAGGGGGCGCTCACCCTGCGGTCCATGTGGGTCCTAATGCCCCAGTATAGTGATGGGGACACTATACTGTAAACAGGCGCCATCTTTCGGATGAGACGTAAAACCGAGGTCCTGACTCTCTGTGGTCATTAAAAATCCCAGGGCGCTTCTCGAAAAGAGTAGGGGTGTAACCCCGGTGTCCTGGCCAAATTTCCAATTGGCCCTTACCAATCATGGCCTCCTAATAATCCCCCTCTATGAATTGGCGACATTACTCTGCTCTCCTCCCCACTGATATCTGGTGTGTGGTGAGCGTTCTGGCGCACTATGGCTGCCGTCGCATCATCCAGGTGGATGCTGCACATTGGTGGTGGTGGAAGGGAGTCCCCATTACCTGTAAAGCGCTTTGAGTGGAGTGTCCAGAAAAGCGCTATATAAGTGTAAGCAATAATAATAATAATAATAATAATAATAATAATTATAAACTATCAACCACCACCTACCAAAAGTGGATGAAATCAAACCCAGGATTCTGAGTATGTGGGACATTGGTGCTAACAACCACAACCTCAAGGCCTAGGTTTTATTTGGTAGGTCTGTCTGTCACTAAATTCCTGAGGTACACAAACTTTAAATGTTCACTGCAACTGACACCAATAGATTTGCCACAAATGGCACAAAATAATGGCGTTTTACCACATCAAATGCGGCAAAAGAAGTAATATTTGACATCTGGTGCAGAGGGAGGTTCACGCAAATCACAAAAAGCAGGAGCGATGCCTGTTGTAAAGGGGTGTTTGGATAAAACCACAGACAGGCCTCAGGCCTGAAGAGCTGAGGCATTACCTTGTTCCTCGTCTTGATGCGTTGGTACACATACTCAGGGAAAGGCTTCCGGGGAATGTAACGGCCCATTCCCTGGTGGACATGCAGATTCCCATCTTCAAACACTATTTTGCCTTGGCTGATGACCACCAAGGGAGACCCATGACACTCCATTCCTTCAAAGATGTTGTACTCCAGAGCCTTAAAACAATCAAGTGAAAGTATTATTTAAAAAAAAACAAACAAGGTCTGCAATTTCTACGCTTTCAGTGCTTGATACAAAATTTAGCACAACCTATTTAAAAAACAGAGAAAAAAATGTAACTTTATTCATAATAATATAAGAAATTTGAGCAAAGCTCTACAGTATGTTACAGATTTGTAATACACTGTTGCTTAGGAGTTAGGAGTTAATACATCAGATACTGTATGCTTGTTCTTACTGATATTTGCATTTTGGCAGTAATAGTCCTTATCCTGTCAGGATCCCAGATGACAATGTCAGCATCTGAGCCCACGGCTATCCGTCCTTTTCTGGGATACAGATTGAAGATTTTTGCAGCGTTGGTGCTTGTGACAGCCACAAACTGGTTCTCATCCATCTTACCAATTGCCTGGCAGAAAACAGAACATATTTTTCCTTTTTTCAAAAGGATGGAAATTTGCATGCTTTTCATAATGTGGGACTTTAGTAAAATACAGGTTTTACTGTCATAAATCAGTAATACAACTTTGTACTTGAAAATTACAGTACATCCTCTGAACCTGCCTGGATGAGACTGCCCTTCCAATCCAGTCCAGTCCAGATTTTTGCAGTAACCAGCTCCTTAACTGATATTCAGCAGGATTAATAAAGCAGTTAATGGGAGGGATTTATCCAAATTCAGCAATGAAGCAGACTGGACTGCCAGTGCAGTAGTGATCTAGACAATCATGTGCAGCTGGAAGTTCCAATAGAGGACCAGTAGATGGCACTGTCCAATCTAGAGCAATCTTCCACTATGGTGACAGCTGCCACTGCATTGTAAAAAAGTGTTATCTATTGGAAGAAATGTGAAAGTGAAGTCCTCACTATTTCCAGGTGTTCAAGATCCCATGACATTGTTGTCCAATTCAAGCTTCAACAATCATGCAAAATCTAGAAGCCTCAAACTTCAAAAATACAAAGTTCCATACTATAATGGAATAACTACAGTAGGTTTATGGTAAAGTTCATAGGTATAAAGGTATTTATAGAGGGGGAACAGAAAGAACCATAAGCTACTCTTTTGGTGACTTTGAATCAGAGGTAGTAAATGTAGACTCACTACGGCCTTGTCCCAGACGACTGCCATCCTCTCCTCAACTCCATTAGTCCCCTCAGGAATGAGAGTAAAGTTGTCCTTCCCAATAGCTTTCTGAGCTGTGCTGTAGGCACAGTGAGCGCTGCCCACCACCTGCAAGTCTCCGCTGAACAAAAAAAATGACAGGTCAGAACATCAAGGCCCAAATGTGATGCAACATGATGTTACACCAAATGGATCTATTTATTTGTAAATAGACCATGACCTGAAAACAAAGATGCTCCAACAAGGCCCAACCAGAACAGAGAATCATTCAGAACACAGGTTAAATCCTACAGCCCAAACATTAAAGGTTCAGTCCTAGGCTTAGTCATTAACAGACAGTGATGGGGATATCCTAAGTAGTAGCACACTGGGCCAAATACCCCTGGCTTTGGGTGGGGTTGAGTTGATTTGGAGTTCCCTTGAACAACAGTCTGGGGTCTGTCAGATGCCAATGATCTAGCAGTGTTGCGACAGAGAGACATTCAATCAGTCAGTACTGTGCTGGGACTCGAAAATAACATGACAACACTGACGATTAATCTTTTTGTCCAGAGAGACTGAAGTTTTCCATATTGACAGGGAAAATAATAGAAAACACTTCTGTAAATATTTGATCAATCATTCTGCTTATGTTTTATAAAAGCAGAGCATTTGGAGATTTATACAGTAGTAAAGAATATATGCCTGAGACTGAGAGCTTTAAAACAAATGTATAAAAGCAGGAAAGCAGCATATATTGAGCATCAAAATAAACATCACTTATAACTGCACTGCAAGTTATGAGGCACCTGGCTATATTTTTTGTAGTAGGCACACTGATCTTAAATTGAACAGAGATCACACAGGCAAATTCATCTTTTTGAGTAACATTTTTCATAAATTGGGGATCTACAGTGAAAAAATCACAGGCTAGTTGTGTGTTTGGGCACTACTGGAAGCAAAACAAGTTGTACAATGCATCTACTGTATGACATACTGTATGGTTGGCACAGTGTTGTTGATGTCTTGTGTGATTCTGTCCCTATACTCTTTTAAATCCTTGACAAGCACGTGCAAATGAAGCCTAGATGTCACACTTCATCCTAGCTAAAACAAAAAATGTTCAATGGGGCTCATATGTGGTGAACAGGGCAACAGTGTGACTGTCATGTTATTACTGTATCTCTCAAGAAAGCCACTGTTACACAAGCAGCATGAGGACATCTGTAGTACTTCTCATCCTTTTTCATGATGATGTCATTCCATGTACATGTAGCTCTCTCATTTACTGCATGTTATTTTCGTGTTATATCTCATCCTACCACTTATCTATTGACCGGTATGTTTATTGTTGTGTAATACCCATTGTAAGTTGTGCTATGTTGTGCATGATGTCCTTATTATGTATTGTTTTGTAATGTACTTTGCACATTGTATGGTGTTGTCTGTTGTATTTGCATGTCGTGAGAGAGCGGGGAGTTTAAGAATCCCAATTTGCCATAATGTACGTATGGCAAATAAACTCCTCTCTCTCGCGTCAGGATAAGCCCACAGGAAGGGCAGTAGGTAGGTTCAAGGACTTGATAAACGAAGAGTCTGCAATCAGGCAGCCTGGAATTTGTGGAGAACAAACAGTGCTGGTAAAACTATCACACTTGGACAACCGCATCCAGCCTGGCACAGTGTCCAGCTTATGGCTTCCCAGATTGTGGCCTATAATTGGAAGTACACTGTACTAAAAGTACAAAGTTTCACTGTAAGGGCTTATCAGGTTAAAACTTTTCCAGATGGTAAATGAAGCAGTCCAGCCTCTAACATACCAAGGGCAAGATTGTATGGTTTTCTTGATAAAAAGGAAATATTGGTTTCTTTTCCTATTTTGACTTTCATCAGACTTGGAATAACAACAGGTTAAATCACTTCATCATCTATGCCCAGTCAACTCTCAACTGACTCAGTGTTTACACCTGAGCGTACCCCAGCTATGAATGATCTGTTAGTCAAAATGATGAGAAAAACTCTGAATATATCTCCAGAACCTGTATTCTTTATTTAACCAAAAACATACATTGAGTGATATTTCAATTGATACTCAGTATATAATTTATATTTGTAAAATTTATATTCCAGTATATAAATGATATTACACTATGTAATCAATAATTGATCACGTTTTAATGTGATTCTTGACAGACTCATGCCATTATAAAAAAAACATTGATCAATGATTGGTAAAACAAAAAAAAAAATGTAATGGGGTTAGGTTTTAAAATCATGACTGCTTAAATTTCCAGACTAATGTATTCCAAAGATTGCTAATAATATTTTTGTCTAATTTAATGTCCCTATATGGTCAGTAATGAAGAACTTCAAGTCTTTAAGTAAAACTTTTTTTTTAAAGATTATACCAGTTTTAACCAGCAGATGTCCCTAACAAGCAAAAAATAACCTGAAAGACAGGAAGCAACGTCTCCTAATTATAATTAATACATGATTTCTCATATTGTTAAAGTCTTTTTCTCGTTTTCAGAAAAATACAAAGATTTTTTTAAATAATTATAATCCTGGCTGTGGCATTTGCAAAGGCTAATTTATTGTTTCTCAAGAAGAGTCCAGCTTCTCTAAAAGGGAGCATCTTTCATAACTAACTTGTCTCACAGTCAAGGTCATCAGAAGATTTCTTTTACAGATCTTGAAATAAATGTGTTCATGACTGTCCTTTTAAGACACTTCCCTTCTTTCGAATATAAAGGTCTAAAAGAAAACAGAAGAACCCTTAAGATGCAACTACTTGTTTGTAGGTGCTTTGTGACACAGTATTTGACTGTATTGTTATTTCTGGTATCAGCCAGAAATATAAACGTAATGAGTGAGATTCTGAAAAGGAACTGTTACCCCCTCTCAAAGATCCTGTTTTATTTGGTAGCCAAGCATAGGCAATCTGCACACACCTACCCCCTGTATCACCTGAATTAGGAGATGACCACACCAGTTTTGTTTTCTTACCTGAACTGGTCCACCACTTACACTCCTTTAACCTACTCATCCCTAACGAGTAGTAGCAGTGGAATTTTCCTGGACTCAGTTAGTCCCGTTTGGATGGACCTGCTGCACCATCTTCATTACCTTGCTGGCAGGCTGACACAGCACCAGCTAACCATAGCTTTTACTTTCCGAGAGCCTTCCTTTGCTCTTAATACATGTGTTAACCCAATGTCTCACCGACAGACTAATAACCGTCAGTGTGACTGCGGGACTGTTCTAACCTGGAGTCGCACCCCGAGATTGCTCCTGTAACTGGCCCCTTTCTGGGGTAGATCTGTCGCTCTCTCAGACGTCTCACCACAAGACTTTTTTCACTGTTGTCAACCACAACCGTGTCGGTCAGCCTAACCCAAATCTGAGCCAAAAACCACCGTCTACTCCCTCAACCCTTATATAGGGAACCTGGTCCAAACAGGTGATACCAATTCCCTAATAACCTCCTGCACACTTGGAATAACCGTTTCTCCCTATTCCTGGAGTGTCTTGACCCAATTTCGACACTCCAGATACAGCTGTCCTGTTAAAACCCACAGTAGAATAGCTACAAAGACAGTCAATTTTGGCGTGTCCTCTGTATAACCATAACCTCTCTTTTTTTATTTATAGAAGGTACAATGTCTTGCAACAGCACTTGTCTTTGAAAGTCTCTAGGGGTGCCGAGCAGTTAAGGCAACAAATCTGTCTTCACAGATCTTTGGGCCTAGTTTATTTTAAGAATCCAGGACAAGGACAATTGTTCTGCATTAAGGAGGGGGGGAAGCTCTGAATACTTTACTTTGCTGAGGATAAAATATTACAGCATTTTGTATTAAAAAGACACCGTCTGGCTTCCCAAGTGGCTCACTAATAATACTTCAACCAAAAATGAAAAGGAGATACGATACCTAGTGGGAAACCAGTTTTACATCAGAGTGTTTCTTTACGTTAACACGTGTAAAAATGACCAGGCTCTGTCAGACCTCTGTGGGATGAAGTCAGCCAAGTGTATTTGCTGCACTGCAAGGGAAGTGTTTTTTTTCCTCCTTCTTTAGATGCTAAAGCCCTGCTGTTAAAAAAGTGGGCAAGGAGGCTGTGGGAGCAGCACTTTACGTGTCAACAGTGTATGGTTTTCACATGTCTCAGAGTGGCGCAAGGGATATGAGCCCCGATACTTTGGAGTGGGTAAAAGTTGAGTGTTAAAATCTGTGGTTGGGGAAAGGGAGGGGTTGGAAATCTACAATTTTAAGTTATAAGAGAAAGGCAAACATCAATATTTGTACAGTACCAGGATGGTGCTTATTTAATAAAATGAATGGACCTGTAGGTTTTAAGAGGTTTTGATACTGTTTCAATTGGCAGTGAGAATGAAAAATATTGTCTCTGTACTGACTGCAGAAGAGAAACATTGACCTGTCACTAGTGTTTCAGGCGGCAGAGACAGTACAGGACTTTGTTCTCTCAGCCAAGTGCTGGGCTGAGGCACCAAGACTGTTGGTACACTGATTGGGGTAATCAGTAAATCTGAGAACTATTGTTTTAGTTAAGTAGTTGTAATTTTCACAAAAACATTTCTGCAGCATGTTTGATTAGGTTAATAATCACAGCAATAAAGTGAGCCTTCATTGTAAGATACATATTTTCATCGTTAAAGCAATGTTAGCCCAGACCTCAAAGTCAGTTAGTGTGTGGCAGAGAATACAGCATACAGACATTGCCTTTCTAACCTCTCTTGGCCATGTTCTCAAAACAGGGACTTCTCCAAAACATACTGTACTTTATGTACCATTCAGAAAAAAGATCTGCTTCACCTGTAAATAACCACACATTTTCAAAGACAGATCATACCAAGCCAGAAGTGAATTGAGGTGGTCTGGTGTCGTAGCATCAGGACTCAATGGAGGAGATGTCACAAAAGCTGCTCCCTTGGCCCAGTTCTTACTCCAGTAGTGAGTTCCGTCTGTACCAAGGCTCGCAGTGATCGGCTCTCCAAACACTACAGCTCCTAGGGTTTCAGGTTAAAAATAAGACATTAGTATAAATCTACTGTATGTTTAAAAGCAAAAAGCCTTTTTTATGACACGGTAATACTTCATTGTTTGACGTCTCAGAACATTGTCTCGCATCAAAGCATCTACAGTGCCTTGCAAAAGTATTCGGCCCCCTTGAACTTTTCAACCTTTTGCCACATTTCAGGCTTCAAACATAAAGATATAAATTTTTTATTTTATGTGAAGAATCACCAACAAGTGGGACACAATTGTGAAGTGGAACGAAATCTATTGGATTTTTGAAACTTTTTTAACTAATAAAAAAATGAAAAGTGGGGCGTGCAAAATTATTCGGCCCCTTTACTTTCAGTGCAGCAAACTCACTCCAGAAGTTCAGCGAGGATCTCTGAATGATCCAATGTTGTCCTAAATGACTGATGGTGATAAATAGAATCCACCTGTGTGTAATCAAGTCTCTGTATAAATGCACCTGCTCTGTGATAGTCTCAAGGTTCTGTTGAAAGCGCAGAGAGCATCATGAAGACCAAGGAACACACCAGGCAGGTCCGTAATACTGTTGTGGAGAAGTTTAAAGCCGGATTTGGATACAAAAAGATTTCCCAAGCTTCAAACATCCCAAGGAGCACTGTGCAAGCGATCATCTTGAAATGGAAAGAGTATCAGACCACTGCAAATCTACCAAGACCTGGCCGTCCCTCTAAACTTTCAGCTCAGACAAGGAGAAGACTGATCAGAGATGCAGCCAAGAGGCCCATGATCACTCTGGATGAACTGCAGAGAACTACAGCTGAGGTGGGAGAGTCTGTCCATAGGACAACAATCAGTCTTACACTGCACAAATCTGGCCTTTATGGAAGAGTGGCAACAAGAAAGCCATTTCTCAAAGATATCCATAAAAAGTCTCGTCTAAAGTTTGCCACAAGCCACCTGGGAGACACCCCAAACATGTGGAAGAAGGTGCTCTGGTCAGATGAAACCAAAATCGAACTTTTTGGCCACAATGCAAAACGATATGTTTGGCGTAAAAGCAACACAGCTCATCACCCTCAACACACCATCCCCACTGTCAAACATGGTGGTGGCAGCATCATGGTTTGGGCCTGCTTTTCTTCAGCAGGGACAGGGAAGATGGTTAAAATTGAGGGGAAGATGGATGCAGCCAAATACAGGACCATTCTGGATGAAAACCTGTTGGAGTCTGCAAAAGACCTGAAACTGGGACGGAGATTTATCTTCCAACAAGACAATGATCCCAAACATACAGCAAAATCTACAAAGGAATGGTTCACAAATAAACGTATCCAGGTGTTTGAATGGCCAAGTCAAAGTCCAGACCTGAATCCAATCGAGAATCTGTGGAAAGAGCTGAAAACTGCTGTTCACAAACGCTCTCCATCCAACCTCACTGAGCTCGAGCTGTTTTGCAAGGAAGAATGGGCAAGAATTTCAGTCTCTCGATGTGCAAAACTGATAGAGACATACCCCAAGCGACTTGCAGCTGTAATCGCAGCAAAAGGTGGCTCTACAAAGTATTAACGCAAGGGGGCCGAATAATTTTGCACGCCCCACTTTTCATTTTTTTATTAGTTAAAAAAGTTTCAAAAATCTAATAGATTTCGTTCCACTTCACAATTGTGTCCCACTTGTTGGTGATTCTTCACATAAAATAAAAAAATTATATCTTTATGTTTGAAGCCTGAAATGTGGCAAAAGGTTGAAAAGTTCAAGGGGGCCGAATACTTTCGCAAGGCACTGTATATTTACACACACAGAAACTTACAACCCATGTAAACAGCACAAGCAAACATTACATTAGAAAAATAATATTTGATAACAGACTATACCCATACATATTGATTTTGTACCACTCACAGAGAAATCCACACAAATTAAACCAGAGCCCTGTAAATTTACTCACAATGATACAAAGCCCATACTGTATAATTACACATCACCCCTTCACCTTTGCACATGATCCACTGATTGAACTTGGTCATAACCTATTACTCCTTAGATCCACAGGCAGCACAATCATTTGTAAAAAGAATCGTCAAAAGAGAATGAAAAGCAGTGGTAAACTCACACAACCTTCGGGCATGTCAGTTATCACATCAGAAGAAAGTGTATTATTAACTTTAGCCCACTGCAATTGTCTCATATGGAATTAACTGTGCCAAAACATGTGGATTGATCTGTAATTGGATCTTTCTTAATAACAAAATATCTGGTCGGATTGTGTTAAAAGCTGACGAAATGCCAAGGAAAAGTACTCTAGCGTATAAGCTGTTTGTCCAAATGCTTTTAAATAAATTAAATGAGGTAAACTACTGCACGAAATAGACCATCCTTGCCATTTACTGACGTAGTGAGATTCAAAGGCAAAGTCCTCTTCAAAGATTCCAAAACGAAATGTTTAAGCTGACATCATGGGCAACAAAGCAGGGCACTGAACACATCACCTCCCACTTTTTGGCAGTACCTTCTGACAAGTCTCTTAAGAACCTGTTACTTCTGGCACAGTTCACCCCAATGAAATGGATATGAAAGGATACAAAAAGGAATAAGTAAAAAAAATACAGACCTTTCTTCTTGGACTGAGCAATGATGTCAGCAGCACTCTTGCTCATCACCTTGGTGATGTACACTGGGCAGTTGACTCGGTTTCCTAATGTGATGGCACGGAAAACAGCCTCTGACTCCAGCTGCAAGACAAGACACTCGAGTCAGCCACAAAGATGGAGAACTCCCTTTCACTAAGCGGCTCTTTGCACCCTTGCCAAGAGACTTAAAGGACAGCAACAGACTGAAACCCCTTGTTGTTTTATTTTCACAAATCCTCTGTCTGCTCCTTGTGCTCCAAAACTGACATTTCCATGTGCAGAGAATATGTCCATTCAAGTCCACTCAACTCAGTAAATCTAGCCTTTCAAATTTTAAGGGCGCAGTATTAAAAGCTTGATTATAACTGAAGTGCAATGCCAAGCTTTCACCATATTTTTTTAAATAAAATCAAGACCATTAGTAGTAGAAAGGTCAATTATCCAGTGACTGGAATGAGAAACAGGACTCTGAGTTTGAGTGCCTATTGAAGCCCCAACACATGTGTACCGTACTATATGTCTCAAGTACTGATAATTTTGTCACAGTTTTATTTTCCTATATAGTGTGGGGATTTGTGGATTCTCCATCAAACATCAAACACAGCAGCTTTATTAAGCTTATACTAAGTAATACTGTATACTGACTAATTTGGTATTAACATTGAACAAATGTGGTTTCCCTTCCTTACAAAACTACTGTAATACTGACAATGTATTCTTCTAAATCACATGGGTAAAAGCCTATTACAAAAGTAAAACAACCTCTTCTGCATAGCTGGTGCACATACAGTAAATACTGAAACTAAATTCAGTTACTGAGAAGCTAATGTAATACTGCAGTTTTGTGTGAGACTGACGATTAATTAAAAATCGAAATTGACTGAAAATGTTTCTTCACTTAAATGTAGATGTTTCACCATAATGTTTAACTAATGAGAACAAAAATCTGTTTATGAGAATTGTTTTTACAAAAATGCATACTGTACATTGTGTTGTAAGATACACTGTATTTTAAAGTGTTAATGGTACAAAGGAAATACTGGAGGTCCTTACTTCTTCAGGACGACTCAGTGCGTGTCCCTCTGGTCCAGTTATGCCCATGCTGAGTATCCTGTTTTGTTCCTGCACGAATCAGAAAAAAAACATCTTAGTATCTACTGTATCATGTGGCTTTTACTTCAATACCAAAGGCTACTGCACAATGAAAATTTGACAGTCTTTAGGAGTTTTACACCAAATTCGAGAGGATGGTCAGATCCTATTCTCACCTATTTTCATGCATCTATATATATATAATTCCTCAGACTTTCATTTGCACATCTGTTATATACCCCACCCACCTACACATTTTCACCATTGCAGCAGCTCCCTGACTCATTCCGTAAAAAACGTGTGTGTGCGGAGTGTCATTCTGCCTCAACTAGGCGAGTTTCCCAAACAGCCTCTGACACAATCCATCATAATATCACATTTATTAGGATCTGACCAAACTACAGAATAGCTCATTGTGTGCACATAAAATTTAATAATGTACTCTACCTTTTTAACAGCAATAATATAAATTGTTTGATTGTCTGAGCTCAGGTGATGCAATTTAAAAAAAAATCAAACCATGTAAAAGTAGTGCAAAATTGCTGTCAATAAAGAAGAGGCCATTCTGCTCATCTAATTCATAAGATTGTTTTTAGTAATTATTTCAAGACAAGTTCAAGCCTATTTCAAAATTAGTTCAACTATTTTAGCCGTTCAGCATAGGATACTCCTTTAATCCCTGGAATCTTTCTATTGTGGGTAGCCTTGGAGCCTTCTTTGGGTGTGAGAAAGAGTGTAAGTAAGTGGCTTACTGCCCTGTCTTTCTCACACCTGAAGAAGGCTATACGGCCGAAATGTTGTGTTTTCTTTCTTCTCTTTTCAGCGTCTAACAAACCTTTTACTATATGTACAGTAATGTCCCTTCAACTCATCTCATCCTTTGCAGCTGCCCTCTGGCCACTCCTCACTCTGCATGGGGGTCCCAGACTCCTCATCCTGTGACTAGGCTGGTCCTCAGTCAGGTGGGTTTAGACAAATTTACTGTGACTAAAACACTCTATAAACCTTTCAATAGGCTTAATTCTTGGGTGTTGTTATTCCTAGGAAGTTATAGGATGTGTGATTTATCTTCACAGTGGCCATTGATAATCCACAGACATTTAAGAATTACAACAGTAATTAATAGATTTTGGAGTGATTGCTTCACAAAATTCATTTACAAGGTTTCACAAGATTCCTATTTCTAAGACGTGTCAAATCATGTGCTTGATCTTTGCTTTTCAGAAGGTCCATGGTGAACTTCAGAAATTGCTAAAAAAGTTTAAGGACTGGAAGTATCTAAATGCTTACAAAATCTAGACTCATAGGGAAGGATCAAGGCCGTTCCAAAAAGTGAAGTGAAAAAAGTGAAGCCTGCAACAATTCTGCAAAAATATTTTATCAGTAAAGAGTGAAGTGCTCAGTTAATACATTGGCTAAATAATTCCTAATGCATTTTAATTCAATGTGCGTGGAGAATAATTTATCATCTAAAATAATAATGTGCTAAATTGATGGCGTAATTCCTTAGTTTTCCATAATGTCAACTACGCCCATCCCTTTGTCGGCCATAAATCACTCCCTGACGAAGATCTATTTGGATCAAAATGTCTTCAGCAACATTATGCTTTGTCAGAATAGCTTTTGAATATATTGTAACAGTGGTGTGTTTTTATCAGTCGGCTTGGAAGATGCAGAGGTGGCCAGTTCGGACTTAATTTTCACAGAATTAGAATGGGTAGGTGTGAAGATTTCACCCTTTAGTAAGAAAATAATTTTTATAGTACAATACTTATAATACCCCTCCTTGGAATGAGGCAATAGATAAAATTATTAACTATTTAGTCCTTCTTTTCAAAATCTAAAATTATTCTCTATATTCCTTATGAGTAAAGTCAGTTTTTTAGTAAAAAGGTGTTTTTAAAAATCAACCCAAATATAAAGCCAAGATTAAAAAATAATGTACTTTATCACACCCATAATCAAAACATTTTCCAAGCAGGAGCCACCTGATAAATAGATAAATATTAAATTTAAAAAAACCCGCTAGATGTCTAGATGGAATTGCAATGAAAGATTCACATCTTTTCCTTGACATACTAATATGTATTCTATTGTCATATTTTCCCATCCCAAAAATAGACACAGTTTTTATGTTCACTGCCTCCGAACAGACTGGTTTTGTTCACATCTCAACATTTCTAATTTAGTCACAGACTAAAGCAAGATCTCAAGCCATCCTGCAGCAGTAAATTTCAAAACCTTTGGCAGTTGTAAATTACTAGTTCCTTTGATGCCAGATTTTATTTGGATAGAAAGAGAAACTGAAAACTAAAAAGGCACTACAAAGTATAAGGTGAATTTTGTAGTGCCACTTGGGTCTGAAATCTGCTTTGTTACGCATTCCACTCGCGTCTCTGTCCCGTCTTGCATTCCCACGCACACAGTCTTTAGCAAACGCTCACGCCGCAAGTAATACACCTACAGTATCATCGTTTACTCCCGTCACTATTTTACTTCTCCTCTTTCCTTACTTCCCTGCTCACTATTGCAGATACTCCTAGAGATCCCAAATGCGCATTTTTCTCTTCTAAGCCTAAACCTTGTTTTCGACTTTGCCTTTCGTTTTGGATTGTTGCCCTCTCGTCGTCTCTCCCGTGTTCAGACCTAATCGCTTGCTTCCTGGTTTCGTTCTTCGCTAAGTGATTTGATTTGTTGCCCTCTCGTCGTCTCTCCTGTGTACAGACCTACTCGCTTGCTTCCTGGTTTCGTTTTTTGCTTAGCGATTCGGCTTGGTGATTTCCTTTTCTCTTGAGTCCTGCACAGGATCCATACACCCTATCTGCCCAACCTGACAGAATAGTGAGCCACATCATGGATCCAGCGGAACAGAATAAAACTGCTGCCTTTTTTCGAAAGCAGTCCGGTCCTATTTGACAACTAACTGCTGCAGTTCAGCGTCTAGTGGACCACACCACCCGTTCGCCACATCCTCAGGCGGCCTCTGTGCCAGCTCCTCCCCTGGCTGCTGCTGCTTGCCCCTTGCCCCACCCCGGAGAAATTTGAGGGAGACCCAGCAAAACTCCAAAGTTTTTTAACCCAGTGCTGGATGGCCTTCTACCTTTGCCCGGATTGTTTTCCCACTGACAGAGAGAAGATCGCCTTCATGATCTCCCACCTCTCCAGTCGAGCCCTGGACTGGGATACTACCCTCCTCGCTCAGAATCTTCCCGTGACCACCATTGCCAAGCATTTTTCTGCTGCCATGCAGTCCATTTTTGGTCAGCTCCACTCCCACCATGTAGCCATCTCCTGTCTCACCTCTCTCACTCAGGGTTCCCATTCCTTCCAAGATTATGCTATGGAATTCCACCTTTTGGCCTCCCAAGTGCCCTGGAATGAAGAGGCTCTCATCTACCAGTTCTACCACGGATTGTCTACTGCCTTTCAGGACCACTTCACATACCTTCCACTCGACTTTCCCTCCTTGGAGCACCTTATCTCCCGTCTAGCCGAGATTGACATCAGGCTCCAAGAACACCGCTCCCAGGTTCAACCCCCTTCTTTTTTTTTCGTTGAGAAGAAGGATGGATCCCTGCAGCCCTGCATTGACTATAGGGGTCTGAATGAGATCATAATCAAACACAATCCCTTTCCTCCCCCTCATTAACTCTGCGTTGGAATCTTGATCTTCGGGGTGCCCTTTTGGTCATTGAGTATCAGGTCATGCCCTTTGGTCTGGCTAACGCTCCTGCCGTATTCCAGGGCTTTATGAATGACATTTTCAGGGACATCATTCAGAAGTACGTCCTGGTCTACCTGGATGATATTTTGATTTTTTTCTCACAACATGGATGACCATATTCTTCACGTCCACGAAGTCCTCACCCGACTCATTGATAACAACCTCTATGCCAAATTGGAGGAGTGTACTTTCCATACTACCAGGATCCATTTTTTGGGACATATAATCTCCTCTCTCAGGGTTGAGATGGACCCTTCTAAGGTCTCCACAATCCTGAACTGGCCCACACCCAGGAACCTAAAACAAGTGCAGCATTTCCTGGGCTTTGCCAATTATTACCGGCGTTTCATCTGAAACTTTAGTTCTGTTGTAGCACCCATCACGTCCCTTACTCGAATAGGCCCTAGACAGGGCAGGTGGACCCCGGTGGCTGAGAGGGCCTTTCTTCGCCTCAAGCAGAACTTCTCTACGGCCCCAGTTCTCCGTCATTCTGATCCCTCTCTCCCATTTGTGCTCGAGGTCGATGCCTCTGCCCTTGGGGATGGTGCTATTTTGTCTCAACACCATGGTCAGAAGGGTACACTCCATCCGTGTACCTTCTTTTCTAGGCGCCTTTTCCCTGCAGAGATTAATTATGAGGTCGGGAACAGGGAACTCTTGGCCATCAAGCTTGCCCTGGAGGAGTGGAGGCACTGGCTGGAGGGGGCTCAACATCCCTTTACTATCCTCAAGGACCACAAGAACTTAGCCAACCCGCAGTCTGCTAAACGCCTCAACCCTCACCAAGCTAGGTGGGTCCTGTTCTTCTACAGGTTTCTTTTCTTCATTACCTATACCCCAGGCTCCAAGAACGTGAAAGCCGATGCCCTTTTCCATCGCATTCATCTCCAGGGACTTACGTTCCTGGGTTTCTGAAGCGGACATCCTGGATCAAAACCTCATTCAGGACTTCTTTCGCACCCATCGCACTCTGGCTAGTGGGTTGTCAGGAGCCGACCCTGGGGGGGGGGGGGGGTACTGTCACGCATTCTGCTCGCGTCCTGTCTTGCATTTCCACGCGCACAGTCTTTAACAAAGGCTCAAGCTGCAAGTAATACACCTATCACCGTTTACTCCCGTCACCATTTTAGTTCTCCTTTCCTCGCTTCCCTCACTATTGCGGATACTCCTAGAGCTACCAAGTGTGCATTATTCTCTTCTAAGCCTAAACCTTGGTATTTGATTTCTAGCCTGCTCCTCGTTTTCGACTTTGCCTTTCGTTTTGGAGTGTTGCCCTCTCGTTGTCTCTCCTGTGTACAGACCTACTCGCTTGCTTCCTGGTTTCATTTTTTACTTAGTGATTTGGCTTGGTGATTTCTTTCTCTCCTGAGTCCTGCACAGGATCCATACACCCTATCTGCCCAACCTGACAGCTTTATGGTCAACAAACTCAGTAACTTTAGTTGTTGGTTTTTGTTTATGGAGTATTTTGAACAGCTTTTACTGCCTTTTCTATCTTTAAGTGACCTCGTTTCTTAACTGTAGCACTGTAGTTCCAAATCATCTCATCTCATCATTAATAAATTATATTAATGATGAGAAGCAAGATGAAGGTCTCTTACATTTCCACATACCTAATTCTCTAAGATTCTGAATTCTTATCTCATTAATAAATGTCCTTCTTTGGCACCATTTGGAACTACTTTTGGTGCTTTTATGGCAATTTACTCCAATTAACATTCATTTTAGTTATAGTTTTGATATTTTATACCTACAACAATGCCTATGTATTGCACATACAGTACGTACAGTGCATACACTATTTTATGATTGAAAGTACTCTAAATTATTTAACTTGGTTTATGAAATTGAATGGAATCAACCATTAAGTATTGGTTTAACTTAATATGACTGTAAAGACAAAAGTCTTAAATGTACTGTAAAAGTGTGTTATATAATAAAAATATCCTAATTGATGATTGTTTATGGAATATATCAAAATCAACAATGCAGACATAACTGAAAAGCAATGACTTGTGCTCAGCTTTCTCTGACATTTTCTCTGTTAAAACATGTTTTTTACCTTTTAATTTCAAGAAGACAAAGACAAACAAAAAATACTACACAAAGGACAATCTCAGAAATAATATATCTGGTGGGTAGCTGTGTCAGCATACGTAGGCCGCGAAGGAACAAGTAATAGGTTTATTCTCTGCTGAAAAGAGAAGAAAGAAAACACATCTGGCTGTGGAGCCTTCTTCAGGTGTGAATATTAATGACACCCGCACAAGGCTCCACAGCCGAAACGTTGTTTTTTGTTTCTTCTCTTTTCAGCATGGAATAAACCTATTACTTCTTCCTCAGAAATAATATGCCTTCTGAGAAACAAAAACAAGTCTCTCACCTGAGCAATCAAGTCTCCATTTTCAGCATGTAGCAGGACCACTGCTCCCAGCCCCTTCAGGAAAGTGAAAGCTTCATAGAGCTGTCAAAGAAGCAGGATATTAGTCAAGAACCCACAACACAGCCATCTTGGATACAGTATCTCTTCCATCCCTCAGGATTTCTCTCGGCATAGTGTTCAGGCTCTGTTGATAAAATAGCATAAATAGTGAACTAAGAAAGTGAGGGAAAGCTGACCTAACTACAAAAGAAAACCCGAAACACACGGTCTTCGGTGTCTTCAAACGAGCTACTGTAGCTTACCTTCACTGACTACCCAAAACCATACAAGACAAAAGGCACTGACCCATACTAAACTAGGGTTACTAATACAAAAATCAACTATGTGTGCAGAAAGTACCCAATAACCTAAACTAACCCTTTAAACAAAAGTTCACACAAATACACAAGTGAACTAGGATTACAATTAAGGGAAAATGAGAGTAGTCAACAGGAACAGGGTACAAAAGAACACAAATGTTGAACATATAACACATTAGGGCAAGGTAATGGCAAAACAAGGATAAACACACAAACAAATGAAAGTACACAGGGATGAACACAAACCAACAAAACCTGAAGCTATACAAAAACACACATGAACAAAACGAAGCCGAAGCAAAAACCAAAAGCAACGCAAAACCGAAGCGGAGCCAACCAGGACCAAAGTCAAACAAGAGGCCCTTTCATTCAGACAACCTCCAAGTTATATACTAGATAATCTGCATTCCGATTGGCCAAGAAGCTGATTGATGATGACGTCACATGGAAACAATGATGTAATCATGGACCAATGGGGGAGGGTCAGGAAGTGTGGAACATAGAAACAAAACACATGGACCACACACTGGGACGTAACATACAGTACAGTATATTATCAATCAGTAACCAAACTGATGCTTCGCTTGAAAGAAACAAGCACAACAAAGACCAATGACCAGTCTTATCTTTCTTCAACTTGGTGGATGCCCTTCTAGAAATATGTCCAGGATAAATACAATGTAATAATCTAGAGGAGCATTGTGAGGAGCAGATGCTCATTATTTGTGCTCTTAAGATCTTAAACCTTGGAATTCTTACTGAGAGGTATAATGTTTTGTCTATTCATTATGTCTCTCCTGAACTGAGGCACCAATTATAGCCAGGATGAGCTCCCCCAGACCCTTAAAATAAATGGTGTACATTTAGATATTTCAGATTCTTGTCAACAGACCACAGCACAATACAGTATGTCTCTAGATATTTATGGGTACATTCCCTACACGGGTATGTTACACTTATGTACTGATGTACATACAGTATGTACAGTACAGTATGTACATACAGTACTGTATCCTTAAATGGACAATGAAACACTACTGTGAGTCACACTTAAAATGATCTTTAAACAATAAATTGTTAATATAACAACCATAAATATGCCATTTTAATATATGTACAAAACAATGATCCACTATGATTATCCACAGTTTGGTAATGATCGCTGAAATATAGGCATGACAAATCCCACCATTAGGAGTAAAACCTTAAACAAAAGGATTCATATAATACTGTACATAAAGAAATTACAGTTTGTCTGATTTTGGTCTTATTTTTCATGATTCAAAGAAACTGTACCCTTGATTATACAGTACATAATACTCAGTCTTTAAGAATGCCACAATAATTGAACTCTTTTGATTTGAAACATTACGTCATCAGCAAAGAACAACATCATTTCTGAAAGGTAATTTCTTTCTGAGCCAGGCTGCAGAGTACATACAGTCCTGTACACGATTTTTTGAAGGGGTTGGTACACCTATCTGTGTTACACATTTTAAGACAACAGCATAATTCTAGTAACTAATAATTAGCCGTTGATGGCAGGTGATGTCAGTAAATTTGATCAGGTTACCGGAGTTTGTAGCTCAAGCAGCAAAGACACTTGCGTGAGTTTTATGATCACAGGTTGGAGTCATGTCACTTGCCCACAGCTGCCTGAGATCTGATTTCATGGTGGTGCTAGTCCACCAGGGCTCTCTTAGCTCTCAGCGACCAGTCCTGCCTGTTGCTCCATGAGGGCTGTGCTGTCTGTGACATGTTGAAAGACAGTGGCTCGTACAGCAAGTTGGCAAGTCAGAGGTGTCTGCCTCCTCTTCCTCATTCTACCCTGTGTGTAGGCCATGAGGATTGCCGCTGGGAGCCGAGATGTGAAAGATCATCAATTCCAAATTGGGTCAGTGGAATAAAACTAATATTGCTTAAATTATAGTAAACACTAAAAAGTACCAGTACCATCGGCAAAGTTGTGGTACCTTGTTACAAAACCCTCACACCAATCCTTTTAACACCCTTCCTGAACCATGATTTTTCATTATTCAACTTCTGCAGAAAAGCCTTTGAAATCCAGTGGCAAAAAGGGGGCCAATTAATGAATCTTACCTGGCTGTCCGTCATCTGAAAGATGTCCTTGTATGCCATATAGACTTGGAATGAGTTAATTCCTTTTCAAAGAAGGCAAAAGGATAAAGCATTACATTTAGCAGCTGCTATCAAATTCACCATTTCTGTCAGTACTGGGGATATTTCTGGGAAAATATCAGTGGACATTAAGCACCACAGTGTTTACATTGTCAACACAATTAGTCAAACCTTTGCCTTCCAGAAGCATCACCATGTATCGTGAATCCTGAAGATAAGAGATCATGCCAAAAATGTCACATTTTAAATGCTGGACCAAAAAAGCTTTAACATAACAAAATATGCTAACAAGTTAACAGCTCATTCAGTCAATGCATGGCACTTGAATGTGCTTTCTGTCTGAATATTTATGCAATGTCGTTCTACTAAGATAACTGTAGCTATAAATGATTGGCACTTAGCAAGACATTTAAATGGGCCCAAGTGGCACCTAATTCAGCCCTCTTAATTCTCCACCAATTTTATAGGCTATTAGGCCACTAAACGAAATCAGATGATCTGCTAAAATTAATGGAGTGATTTCTCTTCTGCCGGAGTCTACATTTATATAATACAGAACAAATTTATTTATACAGACAGAGCTATCTGTGACATCTAACTTTGACTTTAAATAAGCAAAAGCAGACATAAAATCTGTTAACCTGTACTTTGAAATGTCCACAGCCCATTAAAATCCTTTGATTTCACAGAGCCTGCTTGCTTTTAAATCGCACCATAATCCTGAAAGCACAGCATAGTTTCATCAGCATATTTATGGGTAAATGCAATCTTGTAAAAACTTTCTGTGAATTCACTCATGGTGCGTCTATAATTTTGTTTTGAAATAAAAATGTATACAGATTTATTTTTTAGACAAATCTACCCCCTTGGCCAGCAAAACAAATCACCTATTGAGGAATCCAAGCTATCAGAACTGCACATGCAGCAATCGAGCCGTTGAATAGACACCCCTTAGACGGACAGTCACCCAACCCACTAAAAGAAATGAATTACAGTGAGAACGGAGTTTGCTAGCTCCACATCAGGGGTTTCAGAAGATCAGAGCTCAGCGCTGCTCACCTTTTTCTTGCACAAGCACCTCCAAATCCTCCTTGACTCCTTCGTGCCAGTGGGGGATGTCAATATGCAGGGCATAGTCACAACAGGACTTGTTGTCTGCTGCTTCGTGCCACTTCTCAAAGGCAGCCAGAAGACTCCCTCCAGGCTGGGGGACCACATGGTCAACTGAAAGACAATAAACCAACTTATGTCAACCCACAAACAGAAACCATTGATTTGAAATGTCTTAGACATGAAGGCCCAGAGCAAACTAGTCTCATTGTAATTTGTACATTATCCTACAATCCATTACCAAAAAGCCACTTGACCTGGTCAGGGAATCACAACTTGGAGCCTCTGCTGGATGCAGTGGACACAAGAATGCTCTTACTTTTGATGGTATGTCAGTCCATGGCAGATCCACAGAGAAAGAGATGATTAAGAAATGCCAACCAAATCTAGGTTGTATTAGGTTGATGGAAGGAAATCTAATAAACCCTCAGATAATATGGAAACACTACACGGAAGGTGCCCTAGCCTGAAGTCAAACCTCACACTCAGGAGTTGTGAGGCAGCAGTGTTAAATGTCATTCCATTGAGAAAAAATACTAACTTCTGAAGATGATGTTTTTAAGCTTTCATCCGAGTGTCAATATACTTAAGTGGGATACTTGACTCGTCTAATAGTTAACCATTTTACACAATATTCATATGTGGGCTAAACTTAAACTTCACACACCTTCAAAACCAAAATCTATTACTTGGGGCTGGAAATAACTGTTTAATTACCAGCCTAAAAACCGTAGCAATCCCAAAACTTCATTACTGAGAACTACTTCATAGACAATACAAAGTGTAACAGGCAAGCAATGGAATAATAGGAAGATATTTAACAAATGTGTAATAAAACAGCAGGGAAAACAGATGGTGCAATTAACTTCTCAGTTTGATTTTCATAAAGCTATCCACCCTTAGATCTCTCCTCCTTAATGTCTGTTATTGTTTTAAAAACAAATACGCAAATCAAGAGAAAATGTTTGTAATGAAGTAAAATGATTTATTAATCCTGAAATGTAAAATCATTCAAAGCCATTTTAGAGTTTTGTTTTTACTTATGGAAGCCACACTGTAAACTGACTTATAAACTGCCAACACTTTTAAGTAAGGTACTATAGATTAGTTCTTGAATATAACTTTAAGCGTCATGCAATTTCATGAAAAACATGTGAGGAACAAGTTAATTCTCTGCTGAGGAATTAACTTCTACAAAGTAACAGCTGAAATGTTGTTTATGTTTTGTTGTATTTATTTTATTTTCATGCAACAATGTGCTAAATGTGCAGTGTGCAAAGGATGTGCTGTTTGTGTGAAAACACGCCATTCAGGAGTTGTTTAAATATGCTGGCAGGGTGACTATGAAAAATGTGAATTAAATTAATTTTATTAACTAATATTATTTAACTCATTCTAATTTGAGAACACCTGTTTGCCTATTTAATAATAATTATTATTTCATTTAGCACCTTTCATAACACATTATTTCCAGTTTCTTTGCAATAAAATAAAACGGTAGCCAAAACTTTAGAAATATATAAACATACCGTATATACAAAGAATTAAAGGCTAGAGTAAGTTTTAAGATGGAATTTAAAAGTACTGACTTTTATGATTATTTTTGCTAAACAATTAATATTCTATTTTTATATCATTTAAACAGGTACATACTAGATAAAACAAGCTTTTTGATTTTACAAATATTATTTTTATCCATAATCTATTTTAGTTTCAAGTCTATATTAATGACAGATCAATATTAATATCTGTATATACTGTACAAACAGCATTAAAACACACAATTCATACAGACATTATTGAAAATAAATGTGTTTTTAACTCTGAAAAAAAAATAGAAGCCCTAGAGGGATTGTAATCCCCCCTCTTAAGGGCGCTCTTTCACATTTTAGTTGATTTTGTGCACCTGCCTCAAATCCAGCCCCTCCTTATAAGCCAGACGCTCACTCTATTCTGGGCTCACTCTATACTTTGTCTTGTTTTCATCTCGTCTGAATTTCCCGGTTTTGGGACTCTTGGACTTCGCCCCGGATTTCCCCCCCTGGACTCCCTCGGACTTGTTTACCATGGTCACAACCCTGAGCACCAGTGCACCGTCATCACGCCGCCCTGTTTGTCAACCTGCCCAGTTCCTCATCGTCTCCTCCCCATGTCTGTTTCACTCCCTTCTGGATTCTGCCATCTGCATAGGGCCCTAACCAACGTATCATAACATCAGGAGTGTTTCCTTATCTCCCTCAAGGCCCAGCTGTGTTGCTAAGGAAATCGTTTCTACCATAGGTGGATTTCAAGCACTTTCTTTCATGAGTGTGAAGATCTCCATCTATGTTATGTTTCTTTTCTTCTCTTTTCAGCATGGAATAAATCTTAACATATTCCTTTGCAGCCTACTCATGCTGACGCAGCTACCTAATTGAACTAATCTCCATCTATACTACTGTACTTCTACTACTAATAATAAAAATAATACTAATGCCTTACACTTATATAGCACTCGTCCTAACATTTCCCTCCACCAATGTGCAGCACCCACCTGGATGATGAGACGGCAACCATACTGCGCGTAGTATACTCACCACACATCAGCTATCAGTGGGGAGGAGTACAGAGTGATGAAGCCAGTTTATATGGGGATTATTAGGGGATATATACAGTATGGAGATTATTAGAAGATGATTGGTAAACGCCAATGGGACATTTGGCTAGGATGCCGGGGTAACACCCCTACTCTATTCAAGAAATAACCTGGGATTCTTAATGACCACAGGGAGTCAGGACCTCTGTTTTAATGAGCAGTACCTTTTCACAGTATAGTGTCCATGTCACTTTACTGGGGCATTAGGTCCCACACAGACCACAGGGTGAGCGCCCCCTGCAGGCTTTAGTAACACCTCTTCCAGCAGCAACCTTAGTTTTTCCCAGGAGGTCTCACATCCAGGTACTGACCAGGCTCACACCTGCTTAGCTTCAGTGGGTTGCCAGTTGTGCGTTGTGGGGTGATATGGCTGCTGCCAAAGTACTATAAAGCATGAAATATACAGTACTTCTATGAAGTACAGTATTTATACTGTATAAAGCCAGTAAGTCACTTTCTTGTATAGTAGCTGTGATGGAGGTGATTTGGAGAGCAATTAAAGGGTTAAAAGTTTAAAATAAAGTGGTTGAAAAAAGTGAATTTTTCCAAACATAAGTGACTAATGGGTGTCATGGTGGTCTAGTGGTTTGTATTCCTGACCTGAGGTGCTATGTCTTTGGAGTTTGACTGTTCCCCCTGTGTATATGTAGATTTCCTCTGGGTGCTCCACAGTTCAAAGACAGTAATGGTAAGTTAATTGGCTTCTGGAAAAATTGGCCTGTTGTGCATGTTTGTGTCTGTCATGTGCTGCCTTATGCTGGACTGGCGTCCCATCCAGGGTGTCCTCTGCTTTGCATCCATTGCCTGCTGGGATTGGCTCCCCCACGACCCTGATTTGTATAAAGCAGTTTGGAAAAGGATGGATGGATAAAGTGACTAATATCTTGGCTGTTATTTTAGAAGTTAGTATGAGAATGTTTTGCTCACAGAAGTGATTTTTATAATGGTGTTTGTTCCAAAATAAACACAAGAGTCATCCATTTTTAATAACGTGTACTGTAAGAAGGAAAGAGTGACTAAAGTATCTGAAAGACTCTGGACAACTAAACACAAGTCTAGACTAGAAAGAAGAAAGACCAGACTAGAAATCTGAAAAAAAAAACTCACTAACTCCTTAATTTTACCATTCATGACATAACATATTTAAGGCTACCGTGGCTAACATTTCAATTGATGCCCCTTCAGCAATCTGGACTTCTTCTGCCTATACTGTAGGCCTTCTTTTCTTGCATGTGGATAGCTAACACACTGTACTGTACTACATTCTGTAACTAACTCCCCAGGCACATCTTAACAGTCCAATAACTCTTCATAGCAGAAACACAATTTTGGTATAAGCAAATTTAAAGTGTTTTTTTGCCCTCCAACGGCAGGCGGAGCGACACGCCGGTTGGAGTATTCTCGGTCGCATTTAATGGCAACGTCAGCTCCAAGATTTGGTTAAAACCACCAAATGGAGACGGGCGTGCCGACAAGGGGACCCTGCTGATGCAGGATTAACGCTAGGATGAGAGATTTAAAGTGTTTTTTTGAAAAACAGAAAGTGCAGTACAACAGCACATATGTAATCAAACAACTTATATTACATATAGAACTTACTCCCAGGAGTAACACTAAATTATACATTATAAGCTTTAGTTGTAGTGAAAAGATAGATCTTTAAATGCATTTAAACAAATAACAACAGTCCAGTGGATTTGGTCAACACATAAAGGAAGTACTGTACACAAGAAGGTTCTAATGACAATTGTGTGAAATGTGGTCATTAGTAGAGTAAAAGGGGTTTAATCAAGAACATGTAGAAATTTGGATTATATTCATGTAATAAATCCTTAAGGCAGCCTGGAGTTAGATCATTTAGTGCCTTATACAAAAGCAGACAAACTTCAAAGTCCTTGTTAAATTACAAAGACAGCCAGTACAATTTAAATCAGACATGACTTACTGTACATTCTGTTTTACTTACATTTATGTTACCGTATATGTTGTTTTAGTTATTTCACAAGCTGCAGAAATTCTGGGCACAGTGAAGTCCATGTATTATCATCACTCCAGAAACCCCACTACGTACTGCATTCAAATCTAATATTGATTAAATAAAGCTATGTGTCAACATTTCAGCAGCAGATTCAAGGGCCTTAACATAGCAATATCAATATTAACACAAGGCCACGGTACCACAAAGGATTCTTATTTCTGTCAACGATTTAGTTTAGGCACCTTAAACAAAAACACTGAATTCACCAGCTTTCTGAAGCTATTGGAGGGAGCCTATGAGCGTGATCTCACTACACTTTAGCATAGTTTAGCTTGGGGACATTCTGTTGCATTAATATCTTAATGTCAAACAGGAACCTGTAAAACACAGAAACCACAGCAGTAGCATCTGAGTTTGTCTGTAAATAAATCTGAGAGGAACCCAACTCCCTGACAGCAAATAATCTGATGAAGAGACAATGTGCAAATACTAAACAATACAAAGCAGGATAATGACAGCCTGTGCTTGAGAACATGCATGTGCTCTTGAACTGGTTGATTTTGGACTATGACTCTCCCAAGCCTGGCTCTTTCACCCTCTAAAGGTTTGATTTGATGAATACCTGCAGACATCTATTTCCTTGACCAGACATCAGCCTGCTTGAATGGGAACTACAGTACATGGTTATCCCCAATTGGCACCATTTCAGTTTGGAAAGAATTTGTCTGAATAATTTATTTTATGAAATCGCCTTCTCTTCCTCTGAGATGCAGAGAAACAAAAAAAACATTGCATTAATTGTACTTCTCACAGGTTCAGTCATTTAAATCACTTCTTACAAGCACTCTAAGGTCTCTTTTTATGTAATCCTTTTATTTAATCTAGTTAAACACCAGATAAGTCAACTGAGAAGCAAGGCTCATTTGCGATTTTAACAGAGGTCTGCACAGCAGCACAGAAAATAAAAGATTGAAGAAAGAATGAACTGACTCCTGTCCCCCCAAAAGGAATTACTCGAGATGTCTTGCATTTCAATGATTTTCAGAAAAAAAGAGAAAACGGTTGTTTTTAGTTTTTTAACAAAAAATATTTCTATGTTATACGTATATATCAAGCATGATTTGTATAGTGATTTAAATTACACATTGAGCATGTATTTCAAAAGTTGATCATTTGTAGATCATGTTGTCTATACTCAAGGTTGTAACCTTAAATCTATTCGTTGATGTTTTCTGTTTCTGTCTTTAAAATTGTGTCCTGAATAAAACAGGAAGGGCTGGCCAAAAAACTTACACTACTGAAGCATGATAAGAAAACAAAACAAATGCAAACATCAATCATGACTTAACAGCACAATACAATCAGATACAAAACTGGATGGTTTTAGCTTGATTTGTAATTTATTCCAGTCATTTGCTAGAGCAAACTGGTAAGAACAGCAATTACTGATGTAGTATGATAAATGAGCTTGATCCTAAATGTTAAGATGACATAGAAAACTGTAGTTAGGTTGATAAGAACAGGCTTTCCAAATTAAAGATTTGTAATAAAAGCTGAACCATCGATTCATTTGTGTACTTTATTTTTTAAAGAAGGTCAGCCCGAGTGATAAATTTAGAAAATATTTTCTCAAGTGCCATTCTTACATAACGCACATCTTTTAAAAGCTACTGTGAAACAATGATGAAAATGAACACCAGACTACATTATAGGAAACATACAGTACGATTATGATTGAAAAAATACAATTTAACTGCTCTTATAAAAGAGTTTAGCATCCTGTACGACAAGACACCCGAGTTAAACATAAAGCCTGTATTATTACCTTTCTTTCTAAAAGTCATTGTCAAATCTTACTTTTACCATTTACTTGCAAAATACCTTTTCAACGAATTATAGAGGTTAAACTATCCTTTGAAGATCAGGAAGCACAAGTTTATCATCTTAGCAAATCTAGCCACATTATCCAAGTTAACCTCAGACTTACTTATCATGGTGGTTCCTCCTGCCAGGGCTGCCTTGGTCCCCTGGTAGAAGTCATCTACAGTTGTTGTCCCAAGGTAAGGCTTCTGCAAGTAGGTGTTGACATCGATCCCCCCAGGGAGAACCATACGCCCATTGGCCTCTATAGTCTTCACCCCACCCGGCACTATGAGGTTCTCCCCAATCTGCCTGGAAGGTGGGAAATAAAATACAGAAAAATCATGTCCTTGCTTTTATTGGAAAACCAGCGGCTTTTGTTTCATTTCTTTAGATGGTTCTAAAATAAGAATATCACCTGTCTTTAAAGTGACATTTGACAGGAGTTTGCAAGCGGCACCCACATTGTCATGGACTTAACCCACTACGTCATCACCTTAATCAGATACTTTTCATCAAACAAAGGGTGTAGGTGTAAGAGAAAAAATGAATAAAAATAGATCGCAAAATATATTGCATTGTCAAAACTAGCAATGTTCTCACATCTTAATCAAAGCAAGTGATTTACCCAAACATTCGGTATTCTGTTCTCTGCTGTACGTGCTCCAATAAACATATATTTTAATGTGCTTTATGTGCTTAGAACTGTATAAAAAACATAAAGAAAAAAATAATCATTGCAGCAATTAGAACAGTTATGGGAACACCCTGGAGCTTTCCAGAACTTTTGTTCTGCACATAGTTACCGTAATGTTATTCTTGCCTTTTTATGTCACTTTCAGTCACTGTCATTCTAGAGCAACAGCGAAGGGAGGTAATGGAAAACTAGAGCATGTCATAAAACCATGAAGTGGATGATTCTTGCTTCCATAACAAAATGCTTTATAATCTCATAAACAACAAAAAACTTCACAAGCCAGACATTTGCTGTTCACAAGAACACTGATCTAGTTTCCTTACTGGCACTGAGTGGGCAGTGAAGACGCCAGACTGTTCTCAGCCTGCTGTCACGTCAGTATGTTTTCCCATTGCACTTTGTTGACGGGAATCATAGGCAGCATTAATGTGCCAACTTCCTTTGCCCAGCTGCAAGTCATTTGGATCCTTACTGAGAGGGCTTGATTACTGATATCAATCAATGTCAATCCGATAATCCAATATCAAAGGCCCAACTCTTTTATCTGTTCTATATACAGTACTGTATGTCTAGACTATCAAAGATATGTATAGTATTTTATAAATATTGTATAAATCTGAACAAATGTAACTGTCCACTTTACTGTATTTAATAAATATAAACAGTGATAACTGCATTATTATTTAGCAATAAACTGGGGTAATGGTAACTTGTAATTCTCTTCATTGCAATAACTGTTGCTTCATGCGGTAGTTCAGTAAATTGAAGGCTAGACTATAAAATTATAAAACAGAAAAAAGTCTATGCTGTGCTTGCCACTGCAGAGTTATCCAAGATGTCACATTAAGAGTTTATACATTATTCTAATCAGTTTAATACTTACTTTATCAGCCCATCTTCTAGATAAATGTCTGCAAAGAAAGACTGATCATCATTGATCACTCTTCCTCCCTTGATAAGTAAACGGTCACTCTGGAAAACACAAAGAAACATGTCATAAGAGTGCTTGATATCAACATCACAAGTTCCATTATTTGTGATGGAAATAATGTACTGTATACAATAACAGGTACTGTATACATGTGTGACATATACAGCATATTACATGTTGAAAGAAATAATCTTCCTTTCTCATTTTATTAATGATGTGCAAGCATAAAAATGAAAAGTTGAATAGTAAACTGCAAAACCCTGCAAGATAAAGAAAACATTTTCTTAAGTCTTCAACGCCTGGTCAGGCACAAGTAACTTAAATACAAACATCAACAGTTAAAAATGTAGTAATTTGCGGTCAGTCCTACAAAATGTGATTACAAAACTCACATCAAATACGATTACAAATTCATTTCAGTCACTATTTACATATGAATTTTTTGGTCAAAGATAACAACCAATTGTAAATAAAAGAGTAACAGAAACAAAACAGAAACTTAGGTATAACATATAAGGTAGCTAATGAATTAGACCCTTTAGAAAAGTATTATCTAAATCTAACAAAGAGAAGTACTGTACTGATAATACCAAGTAAAGCTCCTAGATGCTTAAGAATGTGATTATCACCTGTCACAAAAAGCCGCTCAGATCAAGAAATACTGTACAAGTATAAGTGGAGCTGGCCCAAAGCCATCCACGTACCGTGGAGAATCTGAGTAACAATCACTCCACTATGTTTAGAATTGAAAGACTCCAGTGTGATCCAATACAAGGCTACAATGGGATCCAAGGGCAGATTGGAAATCCATCTAAAATTGCTACAGTAAGTGTCCAGATCCTGAGAGCACCACCCTTAGAATATAAGAACTATTGATAATCTGAACTATTCATTATCAGATATAGAAGAAGAAGAACTACAATATGCATAATCTGAGACAAAAACAATAGACAATATGTGTATAACAATGGTGTAATACTCGTGTAGTACTGTATATACAGTAATAGTGTAGGCAGAAATTAAATCATTTTCAGTAAAAATGAGTAAAAGTAACAAGTAAAAATATTTCTGAAACTTCAAGGGATTTTCTAGGAAAAAATTAGAAATAGATGTACTACTGCAGTAACTGCTCTTGAATCTATAACAGCTTCCAAATGTAATGGATTAATTATTTAAATGTGTTTGCCAAGCACATCTGAAACAAATCAACTGTTTTCTATCAATGCAGTGAACGTTTCATGAAAAAGTGTAAGGCAAATACAAACCTAATCACGCAACACAGCTTTATGCAGTCTTTTCTTTTCAAATCAAACATTGTATGCAACTCTGGGAATGTATTATTATTTCATATGACATACTGTATCAATAGCATATTTTAAAAGAAGCAAGATAATTATATAAGGAGAATGGAAAAACAGCTCACTTAACCTTAAATTAAAACACCCTTCACTTTTTAATAGATGGTAGAATATCTGTCCATCCATCTTCTAACTGTTTCTTCCCCTTCAGGGTCACGGGGGATCTCGGCAAGCAATGGGTGCAAGGCAGGGTACACCAACAACACCAGTCCATCTCAGGGCAACAAACACAGACACGCATACACTCGTGCCTAAAGTAGGTCCAGTTTTCTTAGAACCAGTTTGTTCTTGGACAGTGGGAGGAAACTGGAGGTGCCAGAGGAAAGCCATGTGAACACAGGGAAAACTTCAAATAAATACCACCCCAGGTCTGGAATTGAACCCAGGGCCCAGCACTATGTCACGATCGTCATCCCTCCTCTAGAGGGCGCTCCGACCCTTTATTGCCAAGTTCATTATCACGTTCACCTGCCCCCTTGTTCCGTTTTTTTATTTAAAACTGGTGCTCCGGAACCTCGGCGCTCTGCATTGGAAGACGGACGCCCCGAGGCCCGCCTAGCATCAAGTCGCCCCATGTCTGCGGCTTGAGGGCACAGGCTTCCAATCGGCGTCCTAAGCAGCTATTAGGAGCTCGGAGCGCCTGGCCCCGTCACTCTATTTTTAACTTCCTAGTTCCTGGTTCCATGTCCCCGTTCCTTGTTTTTATTCTTGTCTTCGTCTTGGATGGACCTCCTAGCTTTGGATTATGGACTGTGCCCCACTTTCTCTGTTGGACTGCCTTGGACTTGTTTGCTAGTGTTCCCCCTTGCACCTGGATTCCCTAAAATCCTGTAACACTGCTTGGATTTGATGGAAGCTCAGCAACTGTAGAAAACTGGCACACAAGCAATTTAATTGTGACTGTGATTCTTCAATGAGCGAAGGATGTTGTGACAATCCATAGGTTGTGAAGCCAGTTCAATTTGTGTAGGTGGTGTAGGAAATAGTGGTAAAATGCTGTCAATTTTGTCAATGACTATTAGTTCTGATGGTGTGGCTGGGAGGATAATTGGTACAGTATGAGGAATAGGGGAGTTTGAAAGAGAGTCAGCTTTCAAGTATGAATAAGTGGAACATTTGGATGTCATGCTCTGGAATATGACTTCTGATAATGGGTAGAACTAGGATTGGAGGGCCATTTGAGCTAGTGTTTTGAAAAGCAGAAATTAAGAATCGGTTACAGAAAGTAACCCAGGTAAGATGTCTGGAAAGGTTCTCAACACGTTATTTTTTATTTCTATTAGATTTACGATGTATACAACAGATATAAAACTGAGTGGATTAGAATAGATTTTGGCTCGAGTGGAGCCCCAATGAACAGTAGAGAGGATGAAAGGGCACTGTTTGCAAAACAGTGCAAAGGAATCTGAGAGGATTCATTAGTCATCCCCGAAGACTAAGAATGGTACAATATTGTTGAAAAGCTGAAGGCCTTTTGGAGACAGAGACCAAACTATAGCAAGTGATACCGCTTCACTACTCTGTTGGTGTCTAGGTGAACATGATGAAACAGAAATGTCACGGAAGTAAGGTTGAGAAATTAAGAAATGACAGGGTACTCTGTGAACCTACAGCATGTGCATAGTGCAGTTTAAGTGGCTGAAGATCAATAAGAACATGCAATGGATATCAGGGAGAGTGGATGGAAGCAGTGAAAATTGTCTTAGTGCAGCAAGGCTTGATTTGTGAAAAGGAGGCAGCTCAAAGTTATGAATCTAGAAAGATCCCTAGAGAATGAGAGGAAAAGATTTCTCTATGGTAACAAGAACATCTACTCTGATAAATCAATGGTGAGAAACGTTCAAAGAAAATACAAGTGGTGGCTATACTGAGAGGGCTAAATCTAGAGTGACAAGGGGTGGAATAGAAAAGGACAGGAAAAGCAGACATCACAAGCCATTAAGCTCCTGTGGACTCCACTGAAGCATGATCAAGGTGGTCAAGAGGTCAGATGGGTGCTGGATGACTCCATTGGTGCAGGTGGGTAACAGTCCAAGCCAAAAGCAGGGGGTGCAGAGCTGGAGCCACACAGAGAAGCCACTAAAGGGAAGCTGGTATCCAGAACCTTGGGTTATGAAAACTGGTTATGAATTCAATTAAACTTTATTTGTCATTATACAGTACTTAAATGGGTGCATAGTATAGTGAAAAGTGTTTCTCATTAGTCTCTCAGGTGCAGTATATATATACATAGAACAGCAGACAGGACAATAGACAGAAATACAATAACAATAACAGTGTAAACAACAGTATGGTGCCATACTAAAAGAGAAGGTGGAAAGAAAAAAGAAATGGGGAGCATGGGAGAAGATCCAGTGGAGACTGATAGAGAGGACAGAGAGAAAGAATGGGCTAGAGCATATGTGTCAAACTCACGGCCCGCGGGCCGCATTCAGCCCACCATCTGTTTTAATCCGGCCTTTGTAAGACATTTCCCGGTCTATTGTATGAGTCCCGAGACAGCAGGAACTCCAATTCCCATGACCCCTTGGCTCCAATTGCATCACGCAACAACTGAGTATTAATGTCCTCCCCTCCCCTCTGGAGTACAACTAGATTGGCTACGTTTACACAGATATCACTGTGAATCTAGTAGTAGAAAAAACGCTAGTAATAATAGTTATACAAATCATTTTGCTAGTAATACATAACTGTGGTGAAGGTAAGTTTTATCGTTTTATTGAAGAAATAGCTAAATCAGGGAGACCATTCTATGAGGGTGATTTTCTAAAGCCGTGCCCATTAAAAGTCAGTGAAGTAATTTGTCCAGAGACAAGGTCTGCTTTTGCAAACATCAGTCTTACTAGAAATACGATGGCTACTAGAGTAGCTTTTCAGAGAAAGCAACCGAATTTATTGCATATTCACTTGCTGTTCGCTGCCGTTCAGGATTTTATGCCCGGTTTAGACTTTATAGCATCAAAGAAGAGAGCTCAGGTAGACCTGTCCTTATTTGTGTTTGTTTTTATTTATTTCACTTCATGTATTTATTTCAATTCATTTTGTGCAATACAATTACACTGCAAAAAAAGACCTAAAATGTTTGATCTTATTTTTATCTTGAATACATTTTCTTTTATGAAATGCTCAACCACATCCTTAAATAGAGGAATTCTGAAGAAATATTTTTTTTTGTATAGGCTACATTCACTTGCATATGTGGAAAAAGTTATAATAAAACTCTAATCAGTATTTATCTCTGCATGTGTGGCCCCCCTAAAAATGAGTTTGACACCCCTGTGCTAGAGGGTGAGAGGGAAAAGGGAGGGCCTGGGTGCAGTTGTGGTGGAGCTCCATGGAGGGGAAGATGTCATCAGGAAACACTGGGGGAGAAGGAGGACAGCACATAGACTCTAGAGAGCAAGATGTCCCTTACAGGGATGTAGTGGTCAGACTGTCATGGATTAAGCTGACAGTAGAGCTTAAAGCAAAATATTGTGGCTAGATAGACAAAAGAAACCGACCCATGGAAGAACTGCAAGAAGACCAGTGGAAAAAGTTGGGTTTTTCAGGCTGGAGTTCAGTGGCTTGCTGAGCTGGTAGGAGCACAGTTTGATGTCCTTTGAGCACACAGAAATTGGTGAAGTCTGTACCTGGTGTAGCAGCAAGGCTTATTAAAATACAGGAATTAAGTTTTCTGCTCC